AAATCTATCCAATACGATTATCTTTCAGCTAACGTCCTAGCTGTTTGTGCGAATTTTAATTAGGACCTAGGACAAAACCTGCTGAAATTGTATAACTTTATGGTAACGGCGATGGAATATTTCATATCCTGCATAACACCGACTACATTACTTCTTTCTATCCTAACTGCTAAACTTGTTAAAACTAAGAACTTGAAACATTGACAATTGTAAACTTTTCTCTCTGAGATAGATAAAACCATTGAAAGATGGATATTTTAATTGTTTTAGATTAAAGCAACACTTAACAATAAGATAAATCAACTCACGCTTAATATTGCTTAAAATTATCAGATTATCATTCAGAGAAAATATGTCAAAAGATTTCTCGTAATGATATTTCTAAATCTTTTTCGAGCGACCTAGAATTCGATTTGACCTAGAAATCGCCTTATATAAATTACGAACTGATCGATTATCTAAAATTCTTATCAACTTGCTTGGGATAAATGAGCAATACGTATATATTGCTTATTGTTTTGGTAAATGGAGTTACCATTTCCAAATTTACCATTGCCCCCAGGTAATTTTTAGAATTCATTCTGTTTAGTTAAACTAAGAGGCTACCAGGAAGATTTATTGATAAGTTCACTAGAATCGTTCTTTATTCTTTATTTTTTACTCTTACAAACAAATAGTGAAGAGTTAAATATAGCAGATATTGAAACAATGTGAAGAATTTTTTCTTTAGAGAATTAGGACTAGTACAAGATGATTAACATCCTTGTGCAAGAATATATATGATATCTTTAGAAGTATTATTATTATAATATTTAGCATTAATTGAATTTTAATTGTAATTAAAAATAGATATAATTTAAGTAAACAAATAATAGCAAAATATCAAAAGAATTTTTCAATTATTCTGAAGAAAACAAAATGAAAAGAAACCATCAAAATAGTTGCTTTAAAACCAAGGTAAAAAGGCATGTACGAAAAACAACTCTTAAAGAATACATATAAGAATAGAATGATATTGATACAACAAACATAAAATAAGATAAAAATTTTAAAGAGATAAAGCTTTCTTACGTTCCTATAGTACTACGCAATCATTCGTGACACACATTTTTAATATAATATAATTCTATTTTTTATTTCCTAAATTACTAAATAAGTATCCTTATTCTATGATTCTTTAGTTATCTTATGATCTCTGTAATCTTCCAAATTGAATTATTGCTATCCTAATTTTTAAAACTTAAAAACCTATAAATATTTTCGAAGAATATACAAGAATTTTTCTTTTTAATCTTTGTAATCGTATCATAAAATCTGTCAACATGTAACTTTAAAATAAAATCATTTTAAAACAGTATAGCTAATTTCTTAGTTATAATCTTTTTTTTACAATCTTTTTACTTTTTTCCATGCAATTATTCGCGACTATATATTATTCGATTCTCATAATTATGTCGATGTTGCCTTATATCTTATTTATAATATCAATTCTCTTCTGTCATGGAGGAAGAGGCAGCAACGAGTTTCATATCTAGCAGCGATATTTTTCATACACATTTTCCAGAAAACGAACAACTTGACGTTTCATCCACTATTTAACGATACTGCGAAGTATACTTGAAAAATATTTTCTTATCTTCGTCTCTTCGTATTCCATCACGAAGATGTGCGCGAATATGAACATCCTGCATAATTGAAAAGGTGGATCAAGAACTTTTTCATACATCGGCCAACGTTTCTTTTGAATGAGGCGATATTTTATCGTGAAAACACGATATCATTCATCTTAAAAGAACCAACTCTAATTTCTAAATATATATAAATAATAATAATAAAATCGGACGCGATCTCTCGCCACGATGATAGCAGTATAACCTCAACGAGCCACGAGTTTCTATCAAATAGCGAATGCAAATAGACTATTTACCAAGGCCACGAAAACAAACGTCCAACTCGTGATCGATCTCTCTCCTTTCACACACGTGCACACAACAGATTCCCAATATTCATTTGTGGTAGAAATTACCGTATATACGAATCTATCGCACGCATACATAACGGAGCACAACGGACGGCCGAGTGGTGAAAAGAATGAGTCAAACGCAAGTTAGATAGCAATTCTGTTTGCTCAATTCACGGGTCAAAGTGCACCGATTCATGCTGCCAATGGTACTGCCATTGCTGTATATTACGCGATTTCTTTATGTATCTTAAAGAACACACAAAGAAATTGGATTCTGTGGCGTGGCGTCATGCACGAGGTTTTGGGGAATCGCATTTGAAATTGTCGCGATTTCCGGGGAAGGAAACATCTCCTCCCACTTTACGCTCGAATCACATTTTTGAGTGAGGATAGGCCTCTTAATCTTCGCTCTCGTGATAACGTCGACATCGTTTTCTGCCGCGATTTCGACTAGCAGCGAGTAGTAGTGCGTCGTTGACCATCGTGGCGACCGCTCCACCTCGCTACCGAGGTCTATGCTCGAATGCAATCCTCTTCTCCACTTCCTTCTCCGGCCTTCTTTCTTCTTTTCTCATCATCATCATCATCTCGAGATCCCTCCATAAAGAGAGGAGGTTAACGCTAAAAGAATTTCATCCAGGATCTTCTCTCTCTTCGCCTCCTCTCGATAGAATTTCCATCCCAAGATACCAATCTCTCGATCGATAATTAAATCCACGCTTCTCCTTCATTCTTCTTCCTATTTCGCTCTCTTCCCGTCCCTCTCCCCCAATTCCCTTCTTTGTCGAGAAAAGGACGCACGAGTAGTGATCGCGTGACGTTCGTTCGATTAGGAAATCGTAATAGTGTCGTGTTTGTGCAAAACGTAAGCAAGGAGGAAGGAAGTTCAAGAGGCAGCCATGTACGCGAGGTTGTTACTATTGAGATCCAGTAAACTTGGATGTTTTCCAAGGAGATTGGCTTCGTCCTCCTCGGGGCCGAGGGTGCCCGAACAAGCAGTACGTGCAATTTTTCTTATTTTTCGCCTTTCATTTCTTCCCAGAACCGATCGATCGATTTGACCTGGACCAGGCGATCCAGACGATTGGTTAACTTGTGCATCGCCGATTCAATTTTTAACACCCTCGGTCGTGCGTGTTTTTCAATCGAACATCGTCCTCGATGGAAAAAGATTTTTGTCGAATGTAATGTGTAATTATAATGAAACGATCAAATCTCGAAGAGTTGTTTGACGTGAATGAATATTACCTGAAGGCAGGAGATGTTTCTTGAAATTTTTTGTTTTTCTTTCTCTTGAAATTCTTGAGAGAAAAAAATATATAACAATGTTTGTGCAATTAAAATGATATGAAACAGATCTTGGACAAAATTTCGAAGAATAATTTAAAAACAATTTTTTCGAACAACTTATTTACAGATACAGTTAATCATTATTTGATAAGTATTTCAATTGATGTTGACTTCATTTATTTGATCAAACAAAGAGAGAGAGAAAGAGAAAGACAGAGAGAGAAAAAGATAATATTTGGGAAAATAATAAATTGAAGACTTTATTATTTGAGGAAATAACGTTTATTTCTTAAATGAAAATTTGTTGTTGAAATAAATATTAAATTGTAATAACAATCGTATTAAAATATATAACAAACAATTATTTTTATCAAAATCAAATAAGAAATAAGACTGAATGATAAATAAATCATTTAATTTAATTGCTAATGCTTCTCGCGCGCGTGTATAATGAATTTCATAAAATATTTTAGAAATAGATCACTTCTCAATTAAGTTTAAAAACTTTAAAATAATATAATTTTAAAATAATACGAAATGTTTAACTCTGATATAAATATAGTTTTGTAAAAGAATATAGTTTTCTAAACTGCTTCGTTATTTATATAATTTTCTCGTTAAATAACGTCAAGTAACAAAACTTTCCACTGCGTTATGTCACTCGACAATGATTTTCAGAACGAGATAATAACGAAAATTATTTATCGCATATAGATTTGAAACATGAACATAAATAATACCGCGTAGATGTCGCATGCATATATGTTGCTTCCGGCCACATTTCGATAATTTTCTAACAACAAACAGCAACAAACGCGTTAAACGGGCTTTTAAATGCAAAATGCATCGTTCGATTTCAAAGATCGCCAGTTTAATTGGCTGTACCGTCATAAATGTAACAACAGCGTTATCACGAATACATAATACAAGTGATATCTCGCTTATACACATGCACAACACGCAATCACCGAATTATAAATATCGTTCATATTTGCACTCGTTGTATACGTTCGATCATCCCGTTCTTCCGTGCAACGTTTAGTCACGGCTGGAGAAAATAGATTCTTTTTTATTATTCATTCGAATAGAAAAAATAGATATTTATATTTTTTTTCTTCAAATGATAAAGAATTTTGCTAATAAATTTTTCTTTGAAGTAAATGTTATATATTAAAGAAATAAATTTCAAATAAATTTTAAATTATATTCAATTATAGAAATATGATTTGAAATAACTTTGATATTGTCATAATAAATTGAAAATTAGTATTATTGTACATAAAGTACTGAATTGAATAGAATACTCTTAGATACAAATAGTATTTGCTCATGACTTAAACATCAAAGCATCACAAGAATAATATCTTCAAATAATATCTGCTTATGAAAATATTTTGATTTTCTACATTTTAATATTTGTTAACAACTTATTTCAAAATTTGCTCATTATCTGTTTATACAGTGGTATAATTACACAAATCGATCATAGAATAAATATTTTCTTGTCTCAGTGTTAAAATTTCTATTGATTGATTTATCGATTAATCGAAAAAAAGATTAAACAATTATCTCATATCTCGAGAATTGAAACAAAAAAAAAAACAATGTCAAGATCGATATTAAAACATTCTGAATCCATTCTAAAAAAAATCACGCCACTTCATTCTCTTACGACGAGCATCCAAGAGACAATGATAAGAATCAGACGTTTTATCAATCGTCATTTAATCACGATCCAGTCACGATACGAACACCACGGTAACGAAAAATGATCGTCGATAATTCGCGTGATGTACGAATATTTCTGCATTATGGATAATATCGATCCCCATATCCTTTTATCCCACATACTTAGAATCGATGTATTTCTAGGTAGATCAACAGGTCAGATCACAAAATGATTCAAGAAAATTGTTACGTAGTTCTATCGATAAAAAAGAAAAAAGAAAAGAAAAGCAATAATTTCATTAGATCATCAAGACATCGTAAAATCCAATTTTTAATCCATTCTATTCAACGATAGGATTAAAAATTGATTGTAGCTGCGAAACAAACTGCGAAACTTGGAAAGTAAAGATAAGAGAGGCGGTACGGTATGATTTATAATACTTAATCAGCGATCCACAGCTTATGAAACCTACGATAGAATCTAGAACGGAATCGATAATGTGTCATTGAAAAATGATTCCCCGCAAGATCTTAAAGGGAGAGGAATTGCATAGCTTTAGGAGACGAGCGGAAATTGGGTCTAAGAACGAGGAAGACGGGAGAATGCACAGAGGACTAAAAATATAATGAAACGTGGTAAATTGCTGTCGCTGACAGATCAATTGTTTTTTCGGATGAATAATTCATTCGTCGCAATTCCGTCAATGATTAATGAAAAACAGACATTAAACAGGAAACAAAATTGCACACTCATCTAAAATCGATTTTTAATTTTTCTTTTTTATTTTTTTTCCCTTCTCTCTTCTCTTTCTTTGTCTCCTACGTTTCTTTCGTATGCCATTGTGCTTCCAATAATTTTTTTGAATTCTTACAAAAATTCCCTTAACATTGAACTCGTAATAAACAAATCTGTTTTCTTTTTTTTTTCTTCTTCTTTTTTTTTCTATAATTGATAGATCTGGAAGTGGAAGTGGTTACACGTGTACGCATGAAAGTATGTCGAGTGGCAATCGAATAGAAATTGGCGGCCGGGAATTTTTCGATTCTCGATTAAAGTATTATACATAAAGATAACATCCGAGAATTCGAACGATCGTAAAACATACACGATCATAGATATTACACTGATAATTCAATAAAAACGATCAAAGGATCATCGAGTGATCTTTATGAGTTTCGCTCGATTGCATGTGATAAAAAGCTAAGAATAAAATTAGTTTGACGCAACGATGAATTACATAAAGTGCACGTAAATTAACTTACCTTGAAAAGCTTAAAAGCGAAACATTCCGACCGGTTGTCGCCACGAACGTGGGAAAAAGTATAGAAATCGTTTCGAGACTTTTCATTTGCAAATGGAAAGATCCCTGTTTTACATTTTAATGACTGTCCTTGATGAATAACGTGTGTCTTGCGATACACAAATGTAATCCACGTATATTTCAAAAAACGATACCCTCAAACAATTAATCCTTTCAAATTTTTCAGAAGCTGTGGAAAAAAATCTTTTTTATCAATCATTAATAATGAAAAAATATTTTTTTAAGATGTTTTCGTAAAGGGGACATATTGCATTGAAATTTAATAATTTAATATAATAATCTAAATATATTTATTTAACCTATAAAGTGTCGTTTAAGAATCTATTATTCTTAAGTCGAATAAGAATCTATTATTCTTGATTCTTGGCAAGAGACTTAATAAGAATTATTATAACAAGTATATGTATTATTTATATACATATTATATAAATATGTGTCGTATATACAAAGTTCCACTTAAATCAATCTATCTAAATATTTTGAATTGACTATATCGAAAATTAATCTTCATATCAAAACTTAGAAAAACTCTCTTACATCAAATTTCCCTATTATTGTTTATTTCTTATTTTCAATATTTAGATAAATCGATTTAAATAACATATTTAACATGCATGTACGTAAGTACCAATTTTTCGAACGAATGATTATGATTTACTCATTATCTCACTTACCTCTAAAGATTAACAATTAATTAAGTAATTATATCGTATACGCAACATGATTTAACATGAAAAGCTAAATTTTAAAACCTCGCACGTCTTCTTACGATACACAGAACTAAAATCAAATAAAAAATATAACACCAAACGTTATTAATTTAGAAAGTTGAAGAAATCTTTTCAAAAATTTTCCTATTCGCGCTTAACCCGTTTCGATCGAAACGATTTAATCGGTTAATTTTTGAAGAGTAGAGTGGACTCACGTAGAGAATTGCAGACGACAGAAGGGCCTCGAAAGGCAACGATGTTCAACGACCGCAGCCAGTTGAATTA